ACAGCACCATTCTCTTCAGAACTAATACGAAATTCAGCTTTTCTGTGGTAGCACAATGCGGAAGATTGGTAGACTGAAGAGAGTGGAAAATGCTGGCAGTTGTTGCCTTTCCCTGTTACTATATTTTTTTAAACAAAATATTCAGATCACATGACCTGGAAAACAACATTCATCCATAACATGTATCATCCACACTGATACAATTTTACAACTTTTACATTATGAAAACTCTAGAATCTTGGAGCCAAAGAATTACACTTCTCTGTGAGACAGACTAGTATTTTATATGTGAAATATATAACCAGGACTGTCCATGAAAAAAAAAAAAATAGAGATCAGATTTGGATCAAAGGATCAAAGCTATCACAGAGTAAATCCAGGATAATTCCACTGAAATGAAATGGAGTTGCTTTGGGCTTAGGTGACTATAATTGAAATTAAAAATCTGACTAATAAGTATTGGAAAAGAAAGGCCTAAGGTAATGCACCCCTAAACTGAACATAAGAAGATTCTGCTGGAAGTCTGCCCCATGGAAACCAGAGCAGAGATGAATGCTGCCTGCCTGTGCGAGGCTCAAACTGCTTTAAAACTGGAATGCAGGCAGGATGCACACCCAAACCTAGGAGAGGTGAAATGTCCTCACAATCCAGAATTAGACATAGATCCCTTTAGACATTTGTGGGAAAATACTGCCAAAACTGACATTGAATTAAACATTTTTCAGTATCTGGATATCAGTTTAAGAAGTGGCTGTTGTCCAGATACAGAAACTCCTGTTGGCAAAGAATTTAAGATAAAGGCTAATTTAAAATATAGATGAGCAAAAGTTAATTTTTGGGGTTTTTTTTAAATAAGTGACATTAGTAAATCTGTCTAATAAACAGCAGTGATGAGACCCATGGAATTACATTTCCCCCTGGCTAGCCCAGTACCAAAACCTGAAGTTCACAGTTCTGGTGTTTCTGAAATTCTAGAATGCTTCAAATATGTAATCAGTGAAGGCCTTCATAGTATTCAGTCTCTCATACCTTCTTTTCTTCATGTGCTAATTCCTTCTTAGACTATTAGGTCATCTGACAAGGAAATATGGGCTGTGTAATCAACTCAAGAAGAAGCATTGAAAGGAACATTTTAAAAAAGAACATAACTGCTGTTTCTGTCCTGTAGCTTTGCAATGTATCTGTAAGTGAGAAACACTGTATTTATGAATAGTTAGTGTTAACTTGGATTTATTGTGCCTTGTGTGCAAAAGCTAATATAGCCTGTGTCGATGAATACTGTTTGACAGTAAAAGTAATTACAAAATCCCAAAACTGTACTTTAGTAGAATATCCACATCTCAAGGAAGACTGCGGCTATTAGAGGAGGGAAAACCTGACTTTTACTTTCAGGAACCTCAATTTATTTTTTTTAAACTAGCAGAGTACAGTACTTACATTCTTAATGACAGATTATATTTTATTACTGATGGTGAAATAATGAAAATGTATGTATTTATGAAAGTGTTGGTAATATATTTTACTCTGAACTGCATTATAATTATTAAATTTTTAATTTTTTCTTGCATTTACATACAAGATTTTGCTTATGGCTGTTTTGTTGTTGTTGAAGTACTACTCATCGCCATGTGTGATGAGTAGTAATCACATTGAAGTTGCCTTACAACAGCAGTCTAAACCTTGAGATATATAAACCTGAATTGCTCAAAGACAGCAGCAAACGAGAAATAAAACTGAGGATCCTGAAGATCAGGGTGGTTGGTGAGGGCAGGTTAAATAACCATCAATGGATAATATCTGTATATCATATGTAGAGTTTGTATGTGCTAAGTGAAAAAATAATCAGAAGTCCAATGCTCTAATTATGATTTGTGAGCTGTTGATTCCCTTTAAAATCTGTACCCAAAACCTCCTGAATACACATATAGGTTTTAATTGGCAACACAAATAAACCAAAACAAAACTACAGCTATTGTCCCTTTGTACTTAACTAAGCTTTTCTTGTCTCATTCATGCCAGATGTCCTGTAAGAGACCCAACTTCCCCACTCATATCAAGTCAGTCATATCACTCCCTGACTTTCACTACCAAGGACTTTTTTCAATCCATCATTCATGCCAGATGTCCTGTAAGAGACCCAACTTCCCCACTCATATCAAGTCAGTGACCTGACTTTCACCACCAAGGACTTTTTTCAATCCGTCCTTCAATTGCTTTGCATATGGGAGTTGGCAAATTTTCCTGCAGGAAGTTTCCTCCTCAGCAACAGGTGTCTGAAAAATACCTGGCCATATCCAGAAGGGCCAGTGCTGACCTTTCTGCCAAGCTCTGCACAGTGCTGCAGCTGGATCTGCCACGGAGCCACCTGCCCAGCTTTGGCTGTGGTTTGTAGCTCCGGTGCCATCCAGTAGGACAGGGAAGGGACCCCTGACATGAGTCCTGCAGCCCACGCCCCCAAGGCTGCTTTGCTCCCTGCCTCTGTGCAATCCCAGGGAGATCAGGCAAGCATGCCTTGGGAGAAATTTGATGGCAGCAGTGTCACACGCTATTTAAATGTTAGCCCACTTGGGTCTGAGATGATAGCTTGCACTCCAGCACAGTTCAATGTGCTGTCTGCACTGATGGCATAACAAGCCTGATGTATAACAAAAACCTGACAGTAACTGCAGGAAAGGTTCCTCACGGGAACTAAAATGCTCACCCACACAGAAGCGTCTCTGTTAATACCAGAGGTGTAACTGCAGCTTAGAGTGCTCATTTGCATCTAGATTGGTGTGCTAATTTGAACGTGGGTTGGTGTGATCCAGATGGGGACTCCACCACCACATTCAGTTCATGGGATACTTCCACACGGACCAGCATCTTTTGCCTTGTATGAGTGTGTGCAATTCTTCTTGTCCTTGTCAGAGCTGCTCTCCCAAAAAGGGCCGTGCAGCAGCTGTCGTTTTCAGGAGGGTTAGACAGAGTCCCCTGCCGTGGTGACACTGCCGTGGTGGCTGTGGTGGTCCTGCAGCCGGTGCACGGCGGTAGAGATGAAATAGGTGGCCGTGGAGGTCAGGTCTCGTGTGCCTAAGGGCCAGGTACCCATCACAGGCTGCGAAGTCACCACCAGGGCCAGGGCTTTGTGCTTGGGCCATCACTGATGGAACCTGCCTCCTGTGGAGCCCGTCCTGCACGGAGGGCGGCTGCCAGGGACAGAGCCGGGACACCGCTGTCCTGGCCGCCCGTGAGCCGGGCACAGCGCATCCACAGGCCCTTCCGACTGCCGGGAGAGGAACGAACAGTGGGAATGCTGGGGGTGCTCTGCCGGTCACCGCTGTCCTGGCCGCCCGTGAGCCGGGCACAGCGCATCCACAGGGCCTTCCGACTGCCGGGAGAGGAACAGCGGGCAGCGGGAATGCTGGGGGGTGCTCTGCCGGCGTGGGCAGCCAGAGCCGAGTTTGACACAGGAAGAGCCACGGCGATTCTGCTGCTCGAATCACCGAACTGAAGGTAAATACCTCGTCTGCCTCACAGAAATTGCACACCTCCACGTTCCCATTTTCTGCTGCTACTGAAATGGCCCGGACGGGCACTAAAGGTGGCAGAACCTATTCCATTCTCCAGCCTCTCCCCTCTCGGCCGCTCTGACCTTCGGCGGAGGAACCGAGGCCTGACCAGAAAGCTTTTTCACACGGCTGTGAGCAGGGCTGGCAAGGCGGCAGCCGAGACACCGGCAGCGGCTTCGGCGGGAGACACGGGAGGGACCGGGAAGGGCGGAGGGGACACCAGGGGACAAGGGACGGACGCGAAGGGAACACGCTGAGGGATCCGGGCGGGAACACACGAAGGGGACGGGAGCGATCCGGGAGGGATCCGGGCGGGAACACACGAGGGGCACGCGGACGATCCCCCACCCCCGTCCCCCGAGACACCGGCAGCGGCTTCGGCGGGAGACACGGGAGGGACCGGGAAGGGCGGAGGGGACACCAGGGGACACGGGACGGACGCGAAGGGAACACGCTGAGGGATCCGGGCGGGAACACACGAAGGGGACGGGAGCGATCCGGACTAGATCCGGGCGGGAACACACGAGGGGCACGCGGGACGCACGCGCAGGGTCCCCCACCCCGGTCCTCTCAGAGCAGGCGCGCGCACCCCCACGCGCGGCGCTTAGCGCGGGACCGGCCCCGCCTCCCAAGGCACGGACCCCGCGCCCATTGGTCGGCGCGCACCTCCGGCGCAGCCAATAGGGAGCGCCCGCCCTGCCGCGCGCCGTCCCTCCCAGCCCTGCCGGTGACGTCGGCGCGGAGAACCCGCCCCTCTCCCCCTCGGCCCGGCCTCCCGGTCTCTGATTGGCTGCGTCTCCCGGCGCGCTGCTACCCGATTGGCGGGCGGGGCGGGGCGGGGCCGGGCGCAGAGCGGGCGCGCGCGGTTGGCGGCGGCGGCGGCGGCCGGTGGGTGCGGGGCGCGGGAGCGGCACGGCCGGGACTGAGGGACGGGGAAGGGACGGGGAAGGGAGGGAGCGGCGGGACCCCCTCGGGGTTGTGGCCTCCGCTTCCCGTGCCCTGAGGGGGGACCCGCCCGCCGCCGGGCCGGCCAGGGCTCCCAAGCTGAGGGGCCGTGGCCGCCGGCTGGGTTGGGGCGGCGAGGGCTCAGCCATGCCCAGGCAGCTTCCCGGCTGGATCCCCGGCCTGAGGCAGTGAAGGCGTGGCTGTGCTCCCGTACCTGGCTGCGTTTCCCGGGCCCGGGCTGGGCGCGCTCCCGCCCGCTCCGCGCTGAGGCGGGCGCGCAGCCGGGTGCCAGATCCATTGGTGGCCGGGCTTGGATACAGCCCCGGCTTCGGACGTGCACACGGAGCACACGGCCTCGTCTGGGAACTGTTCTGGCTGAGCGTGTGTGCGTGTGGCGCTCCTGGGGAGAAGCTGTAAGGCTGTGAGGACTGTTAGTGTGGGTTGGACCAGGGAGAGAGAATGATGCCCGACGGTGTTTCAGATGTATATAAATAACTAAGGGGTGGGTGTCGAGAGGGTGGATCCAGGCTCTTCTTGGTGGTGCCGAGCAATGGGACCAGAGGCAATGGGCAGAAACCGAGGTATAGGAGGTTTCACCTGGATGTGGGGAAGAACTTTACAGTGGGAGTGACCTGGAACAGGGTGCCCAGAGAGTCTGTAGAGTCTCCCTCACTGGAGATGTTCAAGAACTGCCTGGACCCAATCCTGTGCCATGTGTGCTTGGATGACCCTGCTCGAGCAGGGAGGTTGGAGCAGATGACCACTGTGGTCCTTCCAACCTTCCCCATTCTGTGATTCTGAGAATAATCAAACTGAAATCTCAAACTGGTTACCACTGGTCACTTGTTATGACCTTCCCTCACTGCTATGAAGGTGACCACTGAATCCTTAAGAAAGTGGTGGCGAACTTGAGATTTTATATTCTGAATTATGGAAGTATTTCTTTGGGGCAAAACTTTTCCAGAATTTATGCTTTTATGTCACTTAAGATATTTTTGATTCAGCAGTTATAAAAAAAAAATTACATGCGCAGTGAAAGCCATTTAGAGAAAAGAAGTAAAAGGCTGCAGCCTTTTGTCTCCTGTTCATCTGTCACTCAGCTGGGGATGGATGATGATGTGAGTTTGTAGCAAATTTTCTAGGTGCAGGTTACACTTCTCACGGTACAAAAGTTGGCAGTAACTCTTCAGTGAGCAAATCTTACTTCTGTGGTTTGGTTTTGTTTGTTTGTTTTAGTTGGATTTGCTTGTAGAGGTGCCAGATTTGCAGGTAAAATGTATTTTGGCTTTTCTAAACAGCTCTACAAATTTGGGCTGTAGTAAAAAAAAATATTCAAACCAAAATGATTTACATCCTCGTTACTTGTCGTGTGTGTAACCATATAAGCATATGAGCAATAAACATACTGTGCTCTCTGTTGTCTAATGCTGCTGCCAGACTTTTTGCAAACAGTTAGGGAGGACACCCTCACACAGCCTGCATTCCTTCAGTTCTGTCTCCCCAGCCTTGCATGAACATTGCACATCTGCACTCCTGCACACTCCACAGCTGATCCAGAGGATTGCAGCTTGACTCACCCTCTGCGAAGTGTGCAGAATATGTGGACATGACACTTTGCAGAGAAAGAAAGTACATCGTGAACGTGGGCAAGTCATTTCCAGTCAAACAAAATACTCCTCCTGAGCCAAATGCCATCTTCCCTATTTCTTAAAAGAAACGCAGCACTAAAGGAGTTTAAATTCCACTTTCTGAAACTGAGAAACAAGGATTGCTTTAAACACGCAAGACCTTTTGTTCTCTGAAGTGTAAAATGGGGACCTTTTAGTGCCTTCTAAAGAGAAGAAATAGTTTTGAACATTTTCTAGTAATCTGCTAATATTTTCTTAATATGAAAGCTTGCTACATTCAGGATTATTCATTCCATTTTTATCTCCCCTCCAAGACACTGCACACAATTTTACTTACTAGCTTAATTGTTTCACTTTTATTACCATCCCTGTAATGGATTAAATCGTTCTGACAGTGGTGTATCCTCTGTCCTCTGCTGCACTGTGCCATATTCTGTCAAATAAGAATGAAAGCACTGGTGATTTCATTTAACAAGGCCAGTTTTTGCTTGGCCATCTGTTACCATTCTTTGCAGCCTACTTACCTCCCCAGGAGACCTCTGGTTAGAAGCAAACTCTCTCTTTTTTCTTTTTCCCCCACTTTTTTCTTTTCTTTGGACAAGGAAGAAAAGAGAACCTCAGCCTAAATGCCTTTGCACCACAAAGCTGGTTGCTTTTTGAAAAGATTAAAGTGTCCAGACTGGCTAAGTAGCTTGCAAGACCTCCTGCTCTGTTTCTCACAGTTCAGATAATGTAGGTTTTCCTGTGTAAGTATTTAGGAAAGGGGGGAAGCAGCTGGTGCAAATGGTGTGAAATGGCATTTTGTAACGGCAGGTATTTTCTGTCTGTTCCAGGTCAGCGATGGAGGCCCCCGCCGCCAGCGCGGTGCACCTGAGTGACTGGCAGGAAAGTCACTTTGCTGTCACCTCTGGCACCTGCACGCCCGGGCAGAAGGCAGACGGATACCGTGCCAAGATCCTGCGCATTCAGTATGCATGGGCAAACTCGGAGATCTCCCAGGTCTGTGCTGCCAGCCTGTTCAAGAAGTACGCAGAGAAATACTCCGCGATTATCGACTCTGGCAACGCAGAGACTGGCGTGAACAACTACGCGGAAAACATTTTGACTTTGGCAAAATGTCAGCAAAGTGACAGTGACAAGTGGCAATCTGCCTTGACAACAGAGAACGTGTTTGAATTGAAGTGTGTGCGAGAGAGGATGCAGGCTGGCAAAATTTTCCGGAGCTCTCAGATGGCACCGACAGATGCCCGTGTACGAGGTGATAAAGGGGTCAGCGCCCCCACGGCTCCAGCTCTTCCCAAACTCCATGTCTTGGGCAGTACCAGGGAGACTGAGCTCACTGCTGGCTCAGCAAAGTGTGTGAGTCAGGGACCAGATCTTCTTGGGCATCCCTCATCTTCCAAGTCCCTTCATGGCAGTGTGCCTCCTGTGACCAGAGCTCCAGACACACTTCCTGCCGCTTCAGCCTCCTTAAGCAAGCAGGTTCTTCCAGGTTTCCAGGCAACTCCGCTCTTTGGAAGTAAAGAAGCCACTAATAGTGGTTCTCTGAAAATGTCAGGTAACTGTTGTGATGGACAAAATTCATCTCTTTTCAACCAGTCAGCTGTACCTGCCTGGTCTGCAAATTCAGGGAAAAGAAAAGCATTCTATGGTCTGGCTGATGAAGGCAGCACAGCTGTTCCTAGCCTTGCTCCATGTCAGGCTTCCATTTCTACAGAAACAAATGGTTTTTCAGGGCAGAGAAACAGGAATGAAGAGAGCAGTGCTCCTGGGTTTAAAACTGCAAAGGAACAGCTGTGGATGGATCAGCAAAAGAAATCTCAAAACCAGCGTGCACCAGTTTCATCATATGGAGGCATAAAAAAATCCCTGGGTGCAGGCAGGTCTCGGGGTCCGTTCGGCAAGTTTGTGCCTCCAGTTCCGAAACAAGATGGAAGTGAAAATGGAGGAGCGCAGTGTAAGCCTCACGTAGGGGAATCAACAGACCCGTTGCTGCCTGTGGATGAGCGGCTGAAAAACATAGAACCAAAAATGGTTGAGCTCATCATGCACGAGATCATGGACCACGGGCCTCCGGTCATCTGGGATGACATTGCTGGGGTTGAGTTTGCCAAAGCCACCATAAAAGAAATAGTGGTGTGGCCCATGCTGAGACCGGACATCTTCACCGGCTTGCGTGGGCCTCCGAAGGGAATTCTGCTCTTTGGCCCCCCTGGGACTGGCAAGACCCTCATAGGCAAGTGCATCGCATGCCAGTCTGGAGCAACTTTTTTTAGCATCAGTGCCTCCTCTCTGACTTCCAAGTGGGTGGGTGAGGGGGAGAAGATGGTCCGTGCGCTGTTCGCTGTGGCGCGCTGCCAGCAGCCAGCCGTGATTTTCATTGACGAGATCGATTCCCTGCTGTCCCAGCGCGGAGAGGGGGAGCACGAGTCGTCCAGGAGAATAAAAACTGAATTTCTGGTGCAGTTAGATGGGGCAACGACCTCCTCTGAAGATCGTATCCTGGTGGTTGGAGCAACAAATCGACCCCAGGAAATTGATGAAGCTGCGCGAAGGAGACTGGTGAAGAGACTGTACATCCCTCTCCCAGAAGCCTCCGCCAGGAAGCAGATTGTCACCCGGCTGATGGCAAAGGAGCACTGCTCTCTGAGTGAAGAGGAAATCAAACTCATAGTCCAGAAAACCGATGGGTTTTCTGGGGCAGACATGACCCAGCTGTGTCGGGAAGCCTCTCTGGGCCCTATCCGCAGCCTGCAGTCCATGGACATTGCAACCATCACGCCGGAGCAGGTACGGCCCATCTCGTTCCTGGATTTTGAGAGTGCCCTGAGGACAGTGCGGCCCAGCGTGTCCCCCAAGGACCTGGAGCTCTATGAAACCTGGAACCAGACCTTTGGCTGCGGCAGATGAGCTGCATCACAGCTGTACCCTGCTCGAGCAGGGAGGTTTCAGCACAGGAGCAGTTCAGGATTTCAGCACCGCCATGTATTAAACCTGTGGCAGTTTAGTGCCTCTGCACTTTGTTTTGTTTCTGTCCTGGAATTAAAACTCCTCATGTTATGCAGGCAGATGTCCAGGCTCTGGCTGAGGCTTTGCCAGCTGAAAAGACCACAAGGAGCTGCTGCTCATGATGCGAGAAGTTGGTGAACAGCAGTGGCATTGAGGGGCTGACAGCATTTACAGGTTGCTGGGAGAGATGGAAGCAAATTTCACCGATGTTTAAGGGGAAGGTTATCAAACCTCATAAATAATTGAAAGGAGTGTTGGAGAAATCTTGCAAGGTCCATCAGGCTGTGTCAGTAAGGGATTCAAGTAATAGCAGAAATGCCCATTTTGGGTAGGAGTATGGCAAAACTGGATAGGGGAGAACAGTTAGAGGTGCTTTGTTTGGGAGGAGAGGGTGGAGGTGGATGTGGACTTGTATGGAAAAATGGAAGGGGGGACAAAAGAGGAAGGTTGAGTGTTGCTCTTGTCTGACAGCCTTTTGACTCATCACTGCAGTCACTCCCAGCTTCTCATTAAAAAGTTTTTTTGATGATTTTCTGCTTGACCTTACTTTCTGTGCTGCATCAGCATGTGTGGGTGTGTTTTATTGGAAGGTCTGGACACCTGCAGGTGGAGAAGAGGCCAGGGGTCTTAGGGGCTTTAGGATCTCAGCCCAGCTGTGGGGTAGCCAGTGTGGGCAACCGGGTGCTGTAGGGATCCAAAACTCACTGCCAAACTAAGGGCTGGACAAGCAGGCAAGGATGAAGAACAGGATTTGGAAGGACTCCCCAGTGGCAGGACAAGGGGCTCAGGGTCTGGGCGTGGGTATTTGATAAACTTGAATCCTGTGGCAGTGTCTGAAGGCTCCGTGAGTGAGGTGTCCTTGTGACACTGGAGAGTGTGTGGGGGTTGTGTCACACACTGGTGACCTCCAAGAGTGCTGGGCTCTAGTGGTCAGGAAGGAGAAATCCCTGTCCCAACCCCTCCTGGGTTCCACTGCTCCTTAAAAAGTCCTCATGCATCAATGGTAAAATTCTTGGCTAGTTTGTATTTGGCATTCTTACCTAAGGCATGAAAGAATGCACAGCCTTTTATTCACATAACCTGTCTTTTCCCACTGGCTGAGCACAGCTGCCCCTGAAAGGAGAATAAATGGAAATCTTTCCTTTGGATTCCTTTGTCAGTGTGGCAGAGCTGGCTGCTTTGCTCTCTGTGCTTAGTTTTCAGCTTCTCTAAAGAACTTTTTCTCCTATTGGGGAAAATGCAGAGCTTAAAAGCTGCTCTTCCTCACATTTCTCTGAAGTTGGATGAATGTTTAACTAGTATTTTTTAAAGACATTTGGAAAATAAAGGGCCCAGGACACTACAGTGAGCCTTGAATTCAGAATAATTTGGAAGGCTTAGAATTTCTTAGAGCTCATCCTGATTTAAACAAATGAGTCAGATTTATTCATAGCTTATGATTTTAGTAAAGTCTGATATATATCAGAAATTGTTTTGCAGAGATGTAAAAATTCAGGTATGGGAATTTATCTTCATTTTTGAGACAGTGAAAATAGAATAATTAGATTATTCTGAAAGAATAAATGTGTGATGTGGTTCAAACCAATCGACTTTTGTGCCACTTGGGTGAAGATTATGAGATTAAGTCTGTTCTTACAAGTTCCCTTTTGGAGAGCTATAAACACATACTGGGTAAGATTTTTGCTTTCTCCAAACATTTCTTTAAATTCATTGTTCAGGCAAGTGAATGAAGCACCAGAGAATTTTAATTGTTTAATCAAATTAAGGGTTGCTCAAGGGTTAATAAATGCTTTATATATGATTAAATAATTGCCTTATTTATGCTGGGAATTATTCTGGTGTGCTATGTAGCATTCTGTGGTCACCTCTGCATCTGGATTTTCACATTTTAATGGAAGTGCTCTATAAGGAGGAACCAGTGAGAATCCACGTGGTGACAGAGAATAAAGCTCCTCCTGAGCTGACAAGGACTGAGACAAAAGTTCTGTGCCTCTCTATTTGTCTCCTGCAAAGTGGAATTTCTCAACAAGATAAAAGTAGAACCAGACAAGGCTGTTGTTCTGCCTCCTACTTTTTAGATTATTCGTTACAAGAATTACATGAACATGCCTTTTTTTTTTTTTAAACACATGAAAATAGTGAAAGGGAATATTAGATAAAGTTTTTTGTGTTGTAGTAATGATGCAGGTGACCCAACCCTCTCTTCAGCCATGTAGAGTTCCTTGGGCTTTGCTGCAGAGCTCAGAGCCAGCAGGACTTGCAGTTTCAGCCCAAGAGGAGTTTCATAACCCTCTGTAACAGTGCCACCACACAGCAATTCAACTGCCAGGAACATAATTTCACAAAATACAGAAAATTGCACAGAAATAGGCCATGATTGTAATTTAAGGGAAATGGTGCAGATAAATCCACTTTAATGGATCTGTTTAGTGTATGCAGAAACCTATGTACTTCATTATTTATTCTTTTTGGCTGGCTGATCTTTGGAAGAAGAAATGCACAACTCTGTTTTTTTGGTTCAGCAACGTTGGGTGCACAATCTCTCAGTTTCTTTTTAAGGTAAATAATTGCAGTCCTGGAAAAGTCAGGTCTTATTAATAAACAAGGCAATTCAGACTCGCAGTGCTTCTTAGATTTGAGTTAGCTAAATTGTCTCAGAGCTGTATGAAGTCCCCTGGGGGATTTTCATTTGCAGAAAACTGTGCCAGCACGTGTAGGGGAAAAAGCTGATGAGGCAGAAATGATCATCACCTGCTAATGGCGAGTGGATGGAAAGCAGACTGGCCTCTTAGAGCATCACTAAGATTGTCCTTTTGAAACAAGGCAATTTCCTTCTAACAAAAATTATGGAACTGCTCTCAAGCCAACGTGGCACTGGAAAACAGCCCCCCAAACCAAGCAGCATGGGCTGTCCCCTGGGCTGCAGGGCAGGCAGCTGCTCCCTGGGTCTGCTGGAGCCAGCCAAGGAGGCTGCCTCTGCAGCCCTCCCCTGCTGACACCTTCACACCTGCACCCAGCACAGAACAATTAATCTAAAAGTGGGGTAGCAAAGATACGGACACAATATTCCCAAAGCCCGCATTTCTTAGCCTTTCTTTTTAATATTTTGTTACCATTCTGTATCTTACCTGTAGAAAATCAGTCATGTAAGATGTCATATATGTAATGCAGCTGTAGTACTAAAGAGTTTCTAGTACTTTTTTTTTGTGCCATTAGCTGAGAAGTTTCATATAACCTTGGGTCATAGCTGTGAAGCCAAAATAGCATTATCACAGAGTTGTGGGTCTGGAAAGGACTATAAGGAATCTGCAAATTCCCACTTGGTCTAAGGTGAATTAATTTTTGGGATTCCTGGTACATGTTTTGCCTGGTTTGTTCTTTAAAAACATTCAGTACTTATAAAAAACCTTGGTCCCTTTTTGGACTTCATTCCCATACCAGTGATATATGGTCACAGTCAGGACTTGACATCTTCAGTAGATGCAGCAATGTGAACACAGAGTGGTAAATGTTTAGTGTTAGCCATTAATAAAGTGGCTTTCTTGCCTGGATTCTTCTTCAGCAAGGTTGAAGGTGAGTAAAATTCTTCCCCAATGTCTCATCTCTTACTGTGATGCAAGTGTTCTGTGCCTTACCCTGTCTGTATTTCTCACATCACAGACACAGGGAAAGGTTTGATTATCCCCTTGGGAGCAGGTGCCTGAAACAGTTGAGATGTCATCATTTGGCACTACAATAGTACCTGTACTAAATAAAAGTCACTCTTCCACTCCTTTTAATAATTTCCTGTTGGTTCTGATCACTTTTGTGTGTTCATCTCTCTTCAGTGTTAATACCCCAGACGGGAGTGCTCGTCAGTGATAAGGGATGAAACTGGAGCAGAGCAGGACTGACCAGGGGTGCAGGGTGGTAGATGAACTTTCACTGTATTGTTCATTTTCAGCAAAGCTGCTCTGAAGTTGCTGTGTTTTCTCCTCCTGCCCAGGTTGGTTTCAACAGCACAGTTATGCAGAGGAGCCTCCCTCTTCCATCACTAATAGTCACCAATGAATCCATTGTCACAGCTGCAGGAAAGACCCACGTGAAATCTCTGGCATGCCTTGTTGTTTGGCTCTTAATGCACTTTGATTATGGCTTTACAGCTAACTGGGCTGAGGTGTTACAAAAATTTAATAATTATCATCTTCAGAAAATATCACAAGAAAGACTTGCAGAAGGTGTGTCCTGTGTCCATATTCCCATATTACCAAGGCACATAACCTGTTCTAAAGGAATATTAAGTTGTTTTCTTGTGGCAAAGATGAAGCAGTAAGCAAAAGGCAATATTGTTCTCTTGCAGAAACTGAGGGTCAAGGGAAGTGAATGAAAGCTGAAAGGATGCTGTAAAGACAAGAGATCTGCTTTCTGGCTGGGGAGAGATGAGGCAGTGCTTCCTCACTGTAGGTAACTGGGGAAAAGGGGAACAGCTGCCCTTTCTTCACCCAGGCATGACCGGAGTCGTTAGCTGGGCAGGGAAGGGGGGAACAGAAAAGGGGAACCTGCAGCTGTCCGAGCTCAGGCAGGGACAAGGCTGCTGTGCATGTGACTCGGGTGCGGCTGAGGTGTCTCAGGTTCCCAAACAACACCCTGAGCCCAAGGGAGCCCCTCTGTTGGAGTTGGGTTGGTTTGCAGTGGTCAGGGGTAGGGTGGAATCTTGGGTTCCGTTGTGCCTCAGATCTTGTCATATCCTGCTTTGGCCACGGCGCATGCAGCGCAGTCAAACACAGCCAGGCTGCTTGAGGCTTTCCACCAAAGGCACGTGAGAAAAGCTCCCAGGAGCCCAGGCTTTCCCTAAACTGTGCTGATAGAAAATTCCAGTTTCAGGTTAGTTTGCCTGGTTTTGGAACTGGCATGCTGTGATCTGAAATTCTC